CTTGCCAATTACTCAGTTGAAATCGTTGGTAATCATTAAACATTGCCTTCGTTAAAATAGTGAGTGAGTAACTAGTAATTGAATAAGAGTCAACTAAACGTGATGTTTTTATCCGGATTCTACCTAATTTCAGGCTCCATGTATTGAGCTGATCAAAGACTAGAGGTTCGTTATAGACATGTTCAAACGTTTCATTAATTTACCGCACAACTTCTACCTCAATGACTTTTCCACATGAATGTCTTGCCTGACAGAATTTTACGTTAAAAATTGTATTTTTTCACACGTCTGAGATGAAACTAGTGTTTCAATCAACGTTTTGAAGTTTGCCGTCAGCCAAAATTGGACAAGATGAAATTGCCTTGATAAAAACCATTCCCTTTTCAATTGTACGGTTATAAAATTTCTAATAAATACTTTCTCAAATAAAGTAGTGGTTTCAATATGCCGATAATATTGGATTGGAAAGAAATTGCTGGAAGAAATAGGTTACAGCCAACGTTATTAACAAATTTTTGACGGATGCCTTAACCAACTTTAATGCTTTAACATTACATTGAAGAATTTCATGCCTGGGTTTTTCTTCAAAGTATACTAGAATAAAATACTTACAAAGCAGCGATACATCTGTTCTCTCTTGTTAATAGACGGTCCAGTAAACTTTCCATATAAAAACCTTTCACCATTTACCCACGTTGCAAAACATTGAAAATTTAAATCTGAAATGAAATAGAAATATTAAAACAGAACTTAAAAATAATATTTCTATATCGCTCTACAATTGATGGAGTGAGCACTATTGTAATACTGAGAATTTTTCGTTATTATTATTATTCTGAAATGAAATATGTATATGAATACACCCTAGAATATCGCTTGCATCTGCATTTCATAATACAATTTCATGAAAAGCGAATTATCGGATTATGTATTTTTATATAATATAAAAGCGTGTCGATATTGCGTTTTCCGGATGTTTGGCGATGGATAAATACTACAATGATTGAAAACCTTCAAGAAATTTACCAAGACAAAAAACAGAGAGATGAGATACTTACTTTGGTTATGGGTTCCTGGACTGTGTCGACAATGGCGAAATTTGAACTTGAATATTGATTTATCGGCGCATGTGTGGATCTCCGACATGGGATTGGCACAATCTGTAGTACTCTCGTTGGTATAGGAGAATAAATAGGGCCCTTGAAACGGACATGGTACCGGCTCACTGTGCACTGGAAATATAAATATAATTGATTAGAATAACATCCAGTGGAACTCGAAATATATTTGCCCGATTCATATCAGTTGTAGATGATATTCGTGATAGCTTAGAAATAACGCATTTTCCATACCGCTTTGTGAAATCCATTAAACAATCTTTTTTCTCATAACTGTGTCAGATTATGCCAATTCATATATTAGCTAGTAATCAATTGATTAAAATAAATGATGGAAACAAAAATTAGGAAATGATATGGGACATTAACCAGACATTGATACCGTTAGATAAGAATAATGTCTAAGGTGCCAAGATTAAATATTTTATAATTCTAGTCAAGGTTATCAGGTTTTATCTATAACAAGGTGTAAATAAATGTAATTGACCTATTACCATGATTATTACATGACTGGTTGTTCGTGATCTGGTTTATGTCATTTCTGGTCATATTATCAGTAATATCGCAATTCTAGATTGTTTTTGACGACGCCCTTAACTTGTTCCCAGAACATTTCAAGTGGCCGTTATCTCGTCTGATGGTGGTGAAAATTCAACGTAAAGTCTGTTGGAACCCAAGATTTCGAGTTAAAATATCATGGCCACAAATCGTTCGATTCCAGGACAACGGAAATTTCTTTAGACACAAAACATTGAAAACGTACCATAACCCAACTACAAGAAGTAGCAAAGCAAACAGCTGTAATCTTAATTACAGAGCTACGATGCAATATGGCATTACTGTTTAGCAGTTATCAGTAACATAAGGTATAACAGAAATGTAACATATTATGATAACACATTGGATATCAGAGTGAGTTAGAAAATGAAGCTTGTCTGTTTCCTTGGTGCACTTTGTTTGCTTTTGGTGTATAATCTCAAGGACCATAAAATCAACCACTTTGGTTAAAATCGGCAGCAGATGTACGAGAAGCAAGGGTTAGTGCTTCAACCTTTCGCAACACTGTCTCTAGACTACATTACATGAATGGCTGTATTAATTCATGTTATTTGTCTACTGAATCTTACTTTTGATACATTCTACTTGTGATCCTGACTTATCTACCAGAATAACCTACAGTAAGTTCAGGAGAACATAATGATTAATTACAATGTTTTATCTAAACTTTCCAGAATGTATCAAGTTGATGCTACGACACGAACCAGACTCTTGGTAAAGATAGCTACCTTCTATTGTTTCATTACAGAAATGTCAAACCACCTACAAGCATTTTTCAAAAAGACAAACCAGCCACCCTTTGTATGTTATTGCCATTGTCATTCATTGGTGGAATTCACAGATTGTAGCGTCCGAGTTCGATGGGACAAACTATTACAATATTAAACTGAACATAATATCGTCAATTCCAAAGCCAACCTGCGAATTACATTTGTTTAGCCCATGTACAATAATTGAGAGTTATGTAAAATGATGTTTAAGTATGGTCACCTTCGAGATTAAAGTTAAATCTATTCTTCATTAGACATGAGTGGAGAAACGCTTGATGCAAATGACTACATGTACTTATATACATGTCATAGTCTCAGGTCATTATTTAAGGCAACATTGTACAGATTACAGACACTACCTACCTTTTACTAGTGTAATAAGAGGATCGTCACCAGTTATTTGTTTGCAAACATCTCGTAAAGAATTCTGTTTATAACAATAACCTGGAATAAAAGACCAACATACACAACTTTACATACACATACACTATTGAATGATTTTATACAAGCTATGTTAATAACCATGATAAAATGATAATAAGTTAAAATTTGGATGAATGCATATCGTTCGTATGTTTGTGCTTTCATAATTCGAATAGTTTAATATTTGTATGTGTGTCGAAAGTAATATAATATATCAATTTATAAATGCTTCGAGATGGGAATTATGGAATATTTGGACATGAAGTATTAACAAGATTTTGCCACTGTATCCATTAAGAAGTTGAAATGCAGCATCAGAATGTAGTACATGATGAAAGGAAGAAAATGACATTCATCTTAACATCTTTTAAAACTTCAAATAAAATATGTGTCTGGAACTAATGAACAATGGTATTTGAAGCAAAAGATTTTCATTTCAAGGTTATAATTTTTTTATCCTACTTATTCTAATACACACAGACCTATTTACTTTCCAACTGAAAAATATTGATTTTTTTAAAAAGAAATATCTGAATATTTGAACTGTTTAGTCCATAGAAGGTAAAATACAAAAGGTATTCAATTGTTTTAACACAATGATTCCACAATAGCGCCATATCCTTGGCCCTAGCAGATAAAACAAAGTCCGATGTCTACAACAGACGGATCTCGCTTAGACATACTAAGTCTGTCGATAAATTCATCTTCACAATGTCAAGTTATTACGAACTTCGTCCTATACCTTGACTGCAATAGCCACTAATCTTGTAGCACGGAATGCAGAGATTTGACTGGATTGTACATCAGAGAATACAGCCAATCACAGTTCTCGAAAACAATACTTGAACATTTTGGCTTTTTGTTTACAGACTCTATATTGACAGCTCGCTAACGTAGAATCCAATCAAAAAGCTGATTTACAAACCTCTGCGATACAAGAATAGCGGCTATTGCAATCAAGGTATAACGGAGTTCGTAGTAGCTTGAAATTGTGAAGATGCTACATCGTATACCACTCTGTTTTGCCAAATCACGGTTTTCCGGTATATCAACAATTTAATGTATTTCTATCCAAATTATTGAACAAATCTGGATTATTAAAGTAAATTTTGAATTTTAAAATTAACTAGATTTTCAAGAATTAAACGGACATGGTTTTCATTGAATCGTGATAATTTGGTAATTTTCCTTACGGGCCATGTTAACCATAAAGTTATTTTAATCATAATCATAAAACCGTCTTCAGACAGAAAAATAAATAGAAGAAAATTGGAATGAAATAAAACGTAATCTGTAGATTATCTTGCCAAATACTTTTCACATTTTATCATCGTTTTACTGTGAAATATTTATTGAAGTAAATTAACATTTCATACTTCAATGTTAATCATCAAAATCTTTTCAGCTCTTTATATTTATGTTTTTTAACTTTTATTGCCTTTGAGACGCGTGATGCATTTATTTAAAATGGTGATATTTTTTGGGACATATTTCACTCATTTCTTATCGCTAACAATATTTATGCTCTAGCCCGACAAATCCGGCTCTTCGGACGTGATATACGGATAGGTTACTGCACGTTAAGGTACCACAATTTATTATTTGGCTTTTAACGTGGTGCAAAATCTCAAAAACTGGCAGCTCAGATAAAAAGTGACATTTTATGTCAAGTCCTAAACCTGCCCATATACCAACCGAAGAACGGATAGGGACAGATTTGACGGGTTCGTGCTCATGCATATCAGAGGGTCTTCAAAAATCTTTTATATCTTTGAACAAGTATACAAATGATTGACAGTCCAATATTATGTTGGAATTGAATGTCCAGTTAAAAGGTTAACCCCAACAGGCTCAAGTGGCCCAAGAGACAAGGGTTGGTCTTAAGGTTAAGATTGTAAATAATGGAGTAAAGAGAGTTAATTAAGTTATGAATATGAAACCTGTATGATTTTAATAGATAAATGACATCTAATTTGCTCTCATTGACTTCGCCATTGTTTGAAGGAATTGATACTATGATCAGTCACGTGATTTACTAGATCTTGTCACGTGATATTTCAAATAAAGACGAATCCTCGAGAACAAGAAAATGAAATGTGTCAATAACACTATTTAAACTAAAGAAAAGAATTTAATAGGGACGACCTAGTAACTGATGTAATTGTAATTTGAACTGCATGCGCGCACGTTCATCTGCATGTGCATTGAAGTGATATATATCATGATATGTGCCAGCTACAAAATATAATATTTAGGGATTCATTCTATTGTGGGAAAATATTGGTAAAGGTTGGAGGTCTTGACAGGGACCCAAGGCGTGTGTGTTGATCTGTGAATTGGCAGAATTTTAAGATATGAATGACCTCTTACCTGCTTTATACTGTAAAATATTTTTATGACGAGGAGTAAAAACTAAACATCGAAAACAACTATTTTGCCTGAAAATAGAAATTAAAAACATGTTATAAATGATGATCAAAAAAAATTTTTCATTTCGGTTATCAGAGATTTTCAGAACCACGTCCAATTTTCCCTTTTTGAAACCGATTAGAATTGAGAAATGGAAAATTACAAGTAAAAGTACAAACAAAAATCATCTAGAAGTAAGCCATCACGTAAACTGAAAACACCTACTCAAACACTCTCCCCATGGAATCTTTTAATTATAAAAAATATTATAGAAAATATAAAAAAATAATTTGTCAGTTAATTTTAAAATCGTCTTTAATCTAAAATTTGTTTATGTTTGTTTAATTCAACTTCGAAGTAAAAAGCGGCCAACTTTGATTCCTATCAGAGTCTCTGTTTAACATCAGACATTATCTAGTAATATCTCTCAGGATTTCACCAAATTATATTACTACATTAGACATAAGACAGACTTAATGTATTAAAACTAAATGTTGTCTGAAATTAAGTTACTCAGATTATTAAAATCCATCAGTGATGGAAATTTAATCTGATGGTAGCTGGGGGTGTTTTGATGTGATTTCGTCGAATTTCAGTTTCTTTTATCATATCCCGATAATCATCAACTAGGTGTAGTTTTATCACCATCGACGAGTGAATTCGTCTTCAGATAAAGTAAGAATCCTTGGGAATGTTTTCATATTCTCGTGCGATATGGAGACAACGGAATTACACAAGTTTATAGCCACATAAAGATTACGTAAGAATTCTGGGAATATTTTGATCCCTTCCAGGCCTTTATGCGATAAATGGTCAACGTAATGTCACAAATTCTTAGGGAATACTGATAATTAACCAATGACTTTCACTTCTCTTCGAAAAAGCTCAGTTTTGGTTCGAAAATTGCTCTGTAGTTGCAAGGTTGCATCAAAATTTTACGTATTAAATTTACTATCTAGATGCGAAAAAAAATAAAACGTAATTCGCACGTTATGTTATTAGATCTACGTTTAAGATAGCTATGCATAAAATTATGCAGATACTGAATGCATAAGACCAAGATTTTGAAACTGCCGAGATGTTGAACAGTAAGTTTCGCCCACATTAAAAACTACGGTTTTATAAAACAATAGACTGGAGTAATAAAACTTGAATTAGTGAGGTTTCAAATCAAGTGGAAATTTCAAATCCTATCTAAATAAAATGTCTGGCTTTTATGCGATATATTGTTTTTATCTTTTATGATTATTTTATGTGGTTAATCTTCCAAGCGAATTTTAGAAAGCTTTTATTCTGATATATCTGAAGTATTATTTTACTCACAAAGAATATTCGGAAGTATACAAAAACAATCAAAAAACAAGAATAACTCTTCTTCGAATTTCGTGGAACAAATATGCATTATTATGTGACGTTATGTATGCATCATTATTATTGTCTTAAAACATTGTTCTGTAAGCGAATGTTGATTCAAAACGTTTTATGCCTGAAAACAAAGAAGAGTTTAAGAAAAATATGTCTAAATCATAAGTTACAGCCCGAATATGTTTTTGATGAGCACAAGGTATGCAAATGATGTACTGAAATATTAATTTTCAAATGCTTGTTACTGTAAGACATAGGAGTTTATTAACACTAGAACATGTTACTGCCTGCCCGTTAAGTTTTATTAGTATTTTCGGAAATTACCGGTCTTTTTAACTTTCAGTATGACTAATGTAAGCGGAATGATTATGCCTATTTTAAGTTTTCGTTCAGTATTACCGTGTATTTTTGTAATCTTTGTGTTATTTTTCATTAATCACTACAAATTGACTAAAATATCTTATATTTAAATATTCAAATCCTAGACTTTCAGTGGGATGTTGAAAAGCTGTGAAATGTAAAACCTTTCTCTTAAACACGACAGGTTGTTAAAAGACTATTATTTAATACATTTAAGAGTTACGTGCTACAAATATCACAAGTATGACTGACAGATTACCAGTTCGTTAAAATTCTTCACTCACGAAATAGACTTGTTTAAAATCTGAAAATCATGAATCTTTATCTATTACTTCTAATCACATTCATTGTCATTTATCATTTAGAAAATGGACACCCTGTGTTTTTTGTCACGACAAGAAAGTGATAGATGGTGGATCCATGTCGTCCAATTGATACATTACGTGTGTTTTTATAATTACAATATGTGCTACTTGGTAATTGAATGTAGGAAAATGTAATAACATCTTCATTCTCAATTTCACAGAGTTACTGGTTTTTACGTAGATAGAAACAAGCTACCATTAAATACTTCATGGATTTTTAAATAGAATGAAATATAATAGGCTTTACAAACTGTTAAAAATGAGAAAAACAATGCCCATATAGAATTTAAATTTTCTACTAATCGTGATTCAGTTTCATGACTTTGGCAGTCTATTTTCATTTGGTATATTATTTCAATGATAAAAAAATAAAGGAAGCTTTTTTCGATTAACACAATCTGAACGCATACATACAATCTATTACCGGTTTAATTTTCTCTAAATAACAGATAATTTAAAAACTGCAAAATAGATAATTCTTTTGGAGCGATATATGCATGCTTGTTTCGCAATTTATTTTTTAAAGTTTTCATACTAGTACTTTGTTAGTACTTGAAATATTTGGTTCATAATTTAGATGTACAACGATGAAAAATATTTTCCTGACACGCCTTAACCAGGGAGGTCCAGTAAGTTCAATTGTGTATGCATTTCTTATTTGTTTTGACATAGCAGAATAGAAATGTGTAATTTTATAGGTATTTTATCATGGACGGCTCGGGTTAAAATAACAAGAGTAAGCGATTCACCCTGTCTTACCCCTCTATTTATCACTGATAACAAGTACTTGTCAAATATGCATTGAAAATAAACCATTTTTAGAACAATGTTGTTCATGGGTCATTGTAAATGATAACATTGTTAGTTCTGACAAATGAAGTTGAGTTTTGCGCCGAGATAAGGAATTTGAGATCGGTACATCGTCAAAAAAACCTTCGTCCGAAATAGGTATATTCTTACTGATGAACAGACAAACTACAAGAGGTAACATGTAATTAACTTTAAAAAAACAGGAAGGAAATTCTTAACGTGTTCTATTTAAAAACAGAATTAAGCTTCTTAATATAATTCAACATAGTTTGAATAACATAGTTTAAATAACAATTTAAAATCTTGTGTATTTTTTTTAAAAGTTAAATCTTATTTAAGAGTCTCTAATGGGAAACAAACTTTCTGCATAATCTTGTTTGATTCACTAACGTAACTCTTATCTTCTTGTAATCCTGGCCTTGAATGTGCCAGCCTTCGGCAATACGGAACTAATAAAGCTTTTAAAAAAAACTATCGGTATCTGACCAAGAGGTTTTGTGGTATTTTGGCATTTTCAGGAAGAAATATAAGCAGTCCATTAGACATTGAGATATTAATATGATATGTATGCTTCAGGTAAAGTATGACCTTTACACCTCATAAAGTGCATTGCCTTTCTGAAATTTCAATTATTTCCAATTCCAATTTCGCTTTTAGCCATATACAATACAACATTTCAGAGTTTGAGAAATTACAGTATTCAATCAGAAGTTTATTTCATCTTTCTCTTCAGGGTTTAGACACGATATATTATATTTCTTGAACAAGATACGATATAAGACGATACATCCCTGTCAAGGGATGCCACGATATAACCAAATTTTCCAAGAATATCGGATATCAACGCCTAGAACAATTTTCCTTATTTAGGTCTACATCTCATCCTACTCGACATGATTGTAATTCATTATCAGAGTCAATTGTTTGAAAGATGGTTTTTCAGACCAAGTATATTAATATGAATTAATTCCTCAATATGGACGACGACGAAATTACTATATGTGATTTAAATGATTAAAAATTGAAAGGTTCTACTTAGGTAGGAATTAGAAACATCAATGAAAGGGCTAGTATATCTAAGATCTCCCATTATCCTATTTTGTAAACCAATACTGTTGATAAATGACTAAATAGACTAAAATCAAACGGTCCATATCAACTATATATAATTTGAAAAACTGTTTCAGATTTAGAATATGTAAACATTAATAACCCCTAGTGGGTATGTTCAGTTAAATTTCATATTTTCACTGATTTGTATCAGATGGTATCATAAACATATAGAAGGTTAGGCTGAGTACAGTTTAAAAAAAGTGTATAACATCAAATTTTCGGTGCAGGATGAAATTGAAAATTGAAAATGTGTATAACAGTAACAGACTTATTCGAACTTCAAAGATCTTGAATTACATTGCACTGTCACAAATTGGCGAGGGATGCAATCAAAGCATTAAGATACCAATCCGTACTGTCTTTACGGAAAATCTAGTTTAATTGTGTCAATATTGGCTGTGATTATGCATTATGCCATGCAGTTTACAATGTATAATTAACATCTATAACATTATTATAGCAAAGCTTACCTATCAAATAATAGGTATTTATTATCTTCTTTCTGTACACAATGTCCTATACGAGTTATATTATGAAGGTGTATCTGGACATCTTCTAGTTGACTTTGGTACCATTTACCACGCCATTCTGGAGGGAATGTACATTGGGAACCTGCAAAGAAAGAGTCAAAAAGGTTAATAAATAAAGACCACAATCATAAAATACAAAGCATCTGGGATCCAAATTCAAATCCCTGAAATTATCGAGAAACTGTTTTTACGTAGGGATACGCACCGATACGACATCGTTCAAAGAAGGCTATTTTTAAGAATTTTGGATACTGTCACTTCCGGAACATCAACATTGCTGTAGTCTGTTCACTTGGCATTCCTTTCTGAGAGTCTTTTTACGGTATATTTATATAAGTATGTATTAATGTATATGTTTGTATGTATGATTGAACATTTACTTCAAAGTTTGTGGAAATCTGACATATACTGTTTCGTTATCGGCCAGAACTCAATATAAATGTATTAGTGGTAATGTATTTTCTACGTTCCTGATGGCATGTTATGAAGTGATTTTCTCGAATCCAGGTCACTCGGGTAACGCAACAATAACTTTCAATAAAATATCAAATTGCTAAGATGGTGGTATAATGAATTTCTGGGCAATACCGTAATTATTTATTGTTCATGAAATGATTAATTAATATAATGGGTGTCATTGTTCATTGGGTTGCTCAGATATCACATTACTAGCATCACGAATCAAGCAACAAGCGTGAACCAAAAATCACTGGCAATTTAATGACTCTATTTCCACTGGAATCTCCATAAATTCTCCAAGACATTCAAATTGTTACTATTAATTAGAAATCTCCTTAATTCGTTCATGCATTGCTTCCGAATTCCTTAACCAAAATGGTTGTATTGGGTTGTTCAGAATTTAGGACTGATTCTTGATCGAATACTTGATCATCAAGTTAGCTGTAAAGAGAATCACTGACAGAAACGACTTGAAAGTAGTGTCACCAGGGAAGTCGTGTTCTAATCAAATACAGCCAGAAGTTGACACATCTGGAATTTAATACCATTCTTAGAAAAAAAAGATCGACTTGTGAAGCCTTATGTATTAATGACTATCTCGACTGCTAAAGCCTTATAATAGTAATGAGAAAACCGTACGAAATCTTCCTGAAATCTCCAATTCCCTTCCCCATCAGAAACACCTCTGAGTCATATCAACTCGGCCAAATTAAAGAAAACCTAGCAATTGAAGCGTAATTTGCTGATAGAACCACTATCAACATCATTTTAAAAGGCAAACAAGAAGTATGGACATTACAGAGAAAGTCGTCTTTCAAAGATAAGAACACAATAAAATATATACTGATAATATCCTAGGCTTGGTGCAGACAATTTCAAACTCTACGATAAAGGCAAAATAGGACAGAATATAAGGTCGTTAAATGAAGTTTCTATAACACTATAACTATAGTAGAGTTATAACAGATTTAAAATAAAAAGTAAATCAGGAAAGATTGTTTATTGTAATTAAGATTTATAGCTTATAGTCATTCCCATTGGACCAAATTATAAAACAATCGTATATATCATTTTTGTGTTGTGTTTACTTTTGTTGCAATTAGAATTAATTTCTACCCGAGTCAAATTAATGATGGTGACAGTACGCCTATGTGTGAGTTTTATCAAAAAAATAATTGTTGTCAGTGTGCTGCGGCTTAACATCGAATAACTATCAAAGCGTGGCCTTCATTTTAAATAAGATGGTTATCTTTCAATGATGGTGTATATTCTAATTCACGCCGGTATTCATCATAAATCAAACCATATCTTCACGCATATCTGATTTTGCGATCTTTGATAAAAACAGTATAATTATGCGTCGTTTAGTCGCCATATGGTGAACATTGTTTCACGAAGCATTGCGAAAACTGTTGGTATAATGGAATAAAATTAGATGTTATTGGTGAATGCATACAAGTATAATAGTAGATAATGATAGGTTAGGCGTTCTTTGACACTACTGTTAAAAACTTTAAACTTCAGGTTGTATTTGTGCATTAACAATACCATATATAGTAAAATATACACAAACGAAATTAGGGTATCTGGACAACAAAGGAAAATGGTACAATTTATCACCTTTTTCCACGATAGCAGAGTAACGATGCCGGGTTGTCAACCTCCGAGACTGATATATTGATGACAAATGAACCTTTCAAATGCGTCAAGGTATCTGGGCACGTATAGAACTAGTAACTGCCACTATACCCATCTGTTGGAAGCAACAAGAGCTTGTTGTGGCTCATAGTTTTTTTGTGTCGATTCTATTGAAATAAGGTGATAAGATATCTGTAAACCTATTGGTTAAGATAAGTTAAACGATATGTCGAAACGTCTATAACTTAACTGACAGATTTAACTAAGCACAAGACTAACTACGTCTAAAGATTGACAGTCATGTCTTGTAGTTAAGTTGACCGTAAAATAATTACAGAATATACTGACACCATTCCTGATATTCTATTAGTATTCCCTGATATATTCTATATAGAACAATTTTCGAGCATATGTACTGCTACAACTAAAAATTTTCCTTCGATATGTCAAACAGATTAATCCTATCAACAAAAGTACAAAGAAAAAACATGATTTGCTATCTAATTTCGCATTAAGCTATTCATAAAGGAAGAGGTCCATGGTGGCTCAGTATGCTGCACACATTCGTACCTAGGGTCAGATAGGAAGCAGTTTTTGATGGGTTTCACTGTATTGGGTGTTGGGAATGACGTTCACTCAAACGTTTACCCAATGCCCATGTTTTGACGTTTTCGTCTTCAATAGCCCAATCAGACATTTGGTGTATCAAAAAGGTTATCATGTTGTTGATTCCAACAAGTATACACAGCCTTTCAAAATTCAAACAAGAAGTAAAAAAACAAATCCTAGATATTTAAATCTTTACCAACATTAGTCACCAAATCTATATTTTCAAACAGACTTTTTTTTTCAAAATAATTACATCAGATTTGCCTTGTAGGAAGTGAAAATTGAAAGAGTTGAAAGATGACTGAATGTTAAACGAGATGTATGCAGATTGGCTAAGATTATCAAGTAGGTAGAAGTGGAATGAATTGTTAAGTAGAGGAGTGAAGAGAGAGAATTCTATCAATTTCAAGAGTTCTTCATCTTAATAGTTCTGTAATTAAATATCGTCTCTATCCACATAGAAATTATTTGACATCTTTCTATGATGTCTAGAAGATACCAGGTATAGTTAGGAGAGAGTTATTAACACTCCACTTAGATTGCTAATCAAATTCTAGCAACAAATCATATCAACTTACATAACATGCAAGAGTCAGTAAATGCATCCATATAACGTCAGACGTTTTCGAAAATCATCACCTACGCCTTTCATGTAGGTTGTAGTTCTCTATATAGAAAATATCTATCTATGTTAACCCGATGTAAAACGTATACTGACAGTATCTACTATGTGGGTCTAGTCACTATCTGTGAGCAGCAATGGCGGTGGTGGCTTCAGTCAGGGTAAACTTTCTCTTCTTGTCACATGAGACCACTTTTTATTTTGTAGTTCTGATCGTTAGAACTTGTTTGATTTTTTTTTATTTCAGCACGTTTTGGCTTTTATTAAACGATGTATCTTGTCTGCTCCTGTGGGAAAACTTGTAAGACATATAAATACTATTATCTTATATTATCTTCAGCTATTCATCTTAACACGTTATATCGAGTGCATGAAATGCGATTTGTGACTTGTCATCATATAGCTAATTTTTTGCAACAAACCACAGAAAACATTCATATGACTTGAGAGTCGTAAAATATTTTCCATTTGCTGGTGTTTTGTTAGCCGCTTCTTTATACATGCAATACTTTGACAAATTTACTCCCTCGTAAGCGAATGTAATCATTTTTATAGAAACCCAATAAGTAACTAGAACCAAGTTTTACATTCTGCAAATGGACATTATCAAAAGCATATAAAATACACTTAAAATGCATCTTATGAAAACACGGTTACAAATTGGTAAATGGGAGATAATGGAAGATCCGCGGTGAATCGTAAATGCATCAGGAAATCAATAGAGAAATATTGTTGACAATTTCTGGTTATAAAAACCCATGTCTTTGTATTAAAAATATCGTGTGGTTTGGCATTAGTTTTTAGACGAAACCTGGTTGTGTTTCCGTGGCTTAGCATACACTGTGCCATCTGAGCCTTCAGATTATGTGTGTTCAATACGTAGCTTTTGAAAGCTTCTTAAATGGACAGGTGTGTTCTGTCTTTACTCCCCACTGATTCTCAGACAGAAACATTTTAGATGTTGAGTCAAGCTTAATTCTATACTTCAATGGCTAATAGACATTGTATTCCAAAGACGTTTTTATCTTATTCACAATAGCGAATTTCTGATTTTTATAAAACATTTAACATAAATCAAATTAACTTGCATGAAAATGTATTTTTGAATTAAATGAAACGATTTTCGCTCATAGATTAGATATTTGACGGTTCAGGATATGCCACAATATGCCTGATTACTTTCGTTTGAAGAATTTGATATTAAATTATTCATTTTTTAATGTATAGAGAAAAGAATAAAGTCGTATTACGTATTTCTATTTTATTATCTGGTCTTAAAACTCTTATTACTTTCAAAGAAAAATCTATTTTTTATTCCAATATTCTCCTTTGTCATAGAAATAAAATGTCTCTTTAACTTCACCCACACATCTTTACTACACCGGTCTTCAAAACCAGTAAAAGGACGAGAGGTTTTTTTTTACACTTTACATAATGTGTAGATGCTGCATTCATTTTGTGATAGTAATGCGCTTGGCACAAAAGGCATAACTATAATGAAACTAACTCCAAAGCTTTCGGACCTCTCTTACCATTCTGAACAATGTCTCCACGGAATAGAAAGATCAACCAGATTTATGTCCCTTACATTAACAGTAGAGTACTCCGCATTACTAAGAGTCGATATATCCTTGCAGCAGGTCTTGAGATGCTACATTTTGCATTTTCTGATATCGTTAATAACCTCACCAACTCTATTCCTGGCATAAATTAGATAAACTAATTGGAAACCTTATTAAAAATCAAAATAAAAGAGTTGTCATTGTAAAAACGATTAAGTGGACGCCAATTTACATTTTCAAATGAATCTTGTTTCACTTCTTGTTTTGCCGGATTAAATTTATTTCATGCTTAATGAAGCAAGCAATTGGAGGGAAATCTTTGATTTACGCGGGAATACAAAACATTAATATTTTTGTTAAGAGAAGTCGGCTGCTTCAGACAATGGCGTGCACGTTCATTACACGACGAGTCCGCGTTTTAATACAAATGAGATGAAAATACAATTACAGGAAGCACTACAAGACATTCTTTCTGATTTCTCAAGGAGGTTGGATTTGTGAAGGAAGAAAATCAAAAACGTGTTGTCTGTAAAATATATTGTTTGTATCAGCAGGGATTTTCAACAAGGGTTTTTCAATGGCCATTCATTTCAACCTTTATTATCAACTACTTCGGGATCTGTGTGGTAAATTACATAATGAAAAGATTCGAGGAAGAAGGAAATTAAATCAAAAATCAGCTACAACACCCTTTAAGCCAATTTCATCTACAAAACCCTTTATCCCTAACACTCACAAAGGCATTTAGTTACCACTTTTCGTTTAACAATTGAATTTACTAAGGTCTTTAGCTACACTGAATAACGTAATAGGAGAACAGTAGCAATCCTGCAGGCGCATTGTGGGGTGGTTTTTGTATCTTGAAATGTAATTAAAACTGGCACAGTCTGTTCGAAGTCAGTCCGAAAATAGTTAATATATATCTGGAATATCAGCAGCAAGATGTAACTCTCTTCCAGTTCCAGTTCATCAGTTACAAGTCAAAAAGATTTTTATTATATAATGGATACACAATTCATCAAACATCACACTGAAAGGCACTATTATACTCAATTTCACAAACCAAAATCAGTACATTTGATACCAAGAACATTCTGATATGAGACTTATGAATATTAAACTATTCAAAACTGTATTGAGAAGTATGATAAGAAATGGGTAAGTGAGTGGAAGGAAGCAGGATTACACCTACTCTTCTTATAATGAAGATAGAATTAGCCTCGTCTAGACATACGATTATGTCAAGTGGTTGTTTCTGGAAAGGGTAAAAATTATATGTAAAACCTTGGTACCACTAGACCATTAGAATGGTATTACATGGGTAATGTACTTAGACATATAATATTCAATATGACATGATTACTACTACGACAGTCGGGTAAGAAAGTGCTCTAGGCTATGGTCATCATAACTATCATTAGTGGTGACCAGCTTCAATATCTTTCAATTTTAGCTACAATATCCCAAACGACCACCATTATTTTGTACGGACATATAGCATAAAATATTTGAAATAATCCTTTGCGTGTTCTTAAAGAAGTTGAGGTGTACCTGCAGAATAAAGTAACATTCTTCAACCACTTATTATCTAAAGACCACAGATCAAAGAATCTAACAACTCTCTTTCTAAATAGCTCAAAGGTAATTCTGTACAGAAAGCAACAGAAAAGAAAACTTCCGTAGTCTTACAATATAAGTTTCCCTTGCATCCCGTAGCGGATGCTGTGAATACACATACAATAAGTAAACGACGCCATGTTTGTTCACTAGGAGTTAAACGTGTTATCTGAGAAAGCAGGCTGTAACCGCCAAGAAAGTTAAAGGCACATTCTTTCACAACTTTTTAACGTTCGAATTGCCTTTACTAATGCCACAAATCGATAGCACCCATGGTCATACAGGTACCGTTTACTGTATTGTCTGGGTGGAATTTAGCTGTACACGTACAATGTTTATGGTACACACCTACGCCATAGACTGATATTTTTCTCGATAACAGAAATGCTTCGACAATTGGGCCTTTACTTTTCTATCGACCTCAAAGATTCATGGCTCTAAATATCGATCTTTTTTATCTCCTTCTACTGAAATTTGTCAATCGTCTTTCACACATCAAATAGAAGTGAGTTTTAATGACCTATGTTACTAAGACGAAAAGCTGTATAAATGACCCCAATTATGGCTAGAATAAAACTACTAAGGCTTGTCAACGGGGAAAATTACAAGTTTCGAACTGTAGACTTTTAGTTAACTCATGCTTAAAAATACGTCATCTAAAATTAATTGCTTTTAAAAGATAGACAACCTTTGAAATGAGGTAATTTATAATTTAAGAGAAGCACAGTGCATTGACATAGACAGCCTTTAGATCTCAACAATTTATTAGAAAGCCGGCTCTAAATATCAATAAAGTTTCAATCTAGGGGAAGTATCAGTCTTGTTTATAATCTTTAAGAAGGTAATCAGGAATTTTAGGAAAGTTTTGATGAGATATTGACAATATCGTTAAACTTCTATGTGGATAATGATTTGGTTGCGACATACCTCTGTTTAGGACTCAGGACCTTACTTTTACATACCGATAACGATATCATTCTATTGCAGATACATATGCATTTATTAACCGATGGAAGAAACCCCAAGAGTTTCAAATATAAATTAGCCAGACGCACTCTGCGTGATATTCAGATAAGCTGGGCGTCTAATGTTGCAGTTGCATCGCAATAGATTTCAAAGCCGACAAGAGTTGACATAATGGAAGTTGCAAAACGCATCAGGGGATCAGCCATTCAAAAGTAACAAGCTTGCATATTGACGTATGTCTAATGAAAGTCCATGGTGACGATTCACATTCCGATCACCAACGGATGGTAACCAGAACGATGCTATGTTTCCATAGTCTGG